CTTGTTATCTGCTTTGCCTGCTAGTTTGTGTGTGTGTGTGTGTGTGTGTGTGTGTGTACTGTCCATGTAAAACTTTGCCTTGCCATGTCTCTTTCCTGTTCTTCATCTGGTCTTTCTTGTAGGCTAGTGTAGTCTCTTCAGTATTCAGTAAGCCTTCATGGTGTACTAGCTTCAGTGCATCTTCTTCATTGTCCTTCAGATATTCTTCCAATGCCCTTTTTTCTTCTTCAGCTGTCTGGTGTGCTTGTAACATTCCACACCCACCTATGCTCCTTGGTAAGTAGAGTCTGTCAATGTTGCTGCGTGGATAAAAGGCATTATTCATTGTCATTATTTTTCTGGTCTTTCTATTCAGGGCTTTTAGTTCTGCTTGAGTCCAGTCCACTATTCCAGCTGTGTATCTAATGATTGGAATGCCCAGGTGTTAATTGCCTTGATGGTATTTCCTCCACTAAGTTTGGACTTTAAGATGATGGTGATTCCTAAGAAAAGGGGTCTCCCTGAAAGTCATCTAAGCCCACACATACAGATTTGTTTCTTATGAATTCAGTCAATTAAGGAAGGAATTTTTCTCTCCACCAAGTTCAGGTCAGGTATCAGAGGAGGAGGGTAAATTTTCTTCTGGATGAAGGTTGGAGGGTCATATGGTAAAAGGAGAAAAAAGGTGGTAAAGATGATAAAGTATCAGCCCGCTTATTCTTCAAACTAGGTATGTTAGAAATATGAAAGTTAAAACAGAAAAAAATGTGCCTACCTCAACTGGCCCTTGTAAGCACTAAGCATTGGCCTTTGCACTAGCTGAATTTGGTACTATTCAATGATTTGACAGTGCTTGGATTCTTTTGAAGGTATTGGATTACTTACCTACTTTTTCTAGTTAATATTGGCTTTGAAGTTATTTCATATGTCAACTGTCAGATTCACGAAGATCTCAATTTGAATCTTTCCAATTTCTTAAAACTGATTTATCCTGCATCATAGATTTTATGCTTTCAAGAAGATTGAGAGTTCCATGGTAATTAAATTCCATTGACTTGTATTCAGGGAAAAAATATACAGTTATAACTGTAGCATTGTTCTGTAGCAGTACCAACACTTTTTTTTTTAATCTTGAAATCTGTTATAACTCTGTAAGTTCTATGAATGGAATGGATCTTGCTTTCATAAGAGAATGTTGGTTTTAATCTTGGTGATGGTATATTTAGAACCTGTTTCAAAACTCTTTATTTACTGATTTCCTCTTTTATTTGCACAGATTCTAGAAACAAAACTGTATCCAGGCCTCAAAACCGAATCTCCAGAAGGGTACTATGAAGAAGCAGAGCCTTATAGCGTTTCTATGAATGGTACATAATTGTGTATTTCTAGAGTTTTATTGTTGTTTTGTTAAACTATGTGCTAGAGAAAATAAAGTTATTTCTAAAAACAGTCAACCCAAATGCATCGGGGAAGGAGATATTCAAAATATAAAATTGCAAATGTGAGGTATACATCTGTGACTGTAATACTACTAAGTAAATAAAAAAAGAAAACTAAATGACAGCCAGAACTGCCATTGTTAAGTTCAGCTTAGTATGATATTGATACCATTTTAGTCAGATTTTTCCCTTGGTATAATAAGGTTTACAGATTTAAATAATGTCTCCACTAGAAAGCTCTATAGAGGCTAAGAATGTATGTATGTATGTATGTATGTATGTATGTATGTATGTATGTATGTATTTATTTATTTATTTATTTATTTGTCTGTCGCATTTATATAGCTGCCCACCTCACACAAAGCGACTGTGGATGGTGAGAGTATTTATGTATTTATGCTGCATCTTCCTCCTCAGAACTTTTCAAAATTTCTTGCCGCAGCTCTTCAGATAGTAGGTATGGGCAGGTCCTGTGGTACCTTGACCTTCTCCAGGCCATTCATTCTGATGATCACAATGCTGGTGTCTCCCAAGCTGAGCTGCAACCCTTTGTATCACATATGACTCATGAAGCTCAATGTATGCTGTACTGTTCAGAGTACATATTGAATGCTAACTATTTAGCCTGAATCAGCACCATCTGATTTTATTTGCTCTGATTATAATCATATAGAGCTTGTTTTAAAGTTTTAGCAGACTGCTTCTAATTATTACTGTATGTTTTAGATATATTGTGCTTGCAGTTGTTAAAATAATTTAAGCCCTTTATCAGTGAGATAAATTTCTCTCCTTCTTCATCTCTCATTGTGCAGATCTTTATGGTAAGTTTGCAGCTACTGGGCCCAGACCAGTGTTGCAGGTTATTGAGGGAGTAATATGTGCTACAATAACTATGGTTATGGCATATTTTAAAATCTGAATACTCATGCACTGGCTTTCAGTAGTCTTTTTTGTGGCAGTCTTTCACCAGGCTCCCCTCAATCTTATTTTCATCCTAAAAAACACATTCAGGTGAGAAGCAGGGATAAAGAAATAGCAGTAGTTATATGTTGTTGTTTTTTAAACAATTCCTTAATCAGTCATGATAATTCATAATCACCCAGTGCTTTAAAACAGGATTCCTGAGCATTTTTGGAATTAATTATAAGAATCTTTCCCATGGGAATATGCTTTTGTTTTGAATTCTTTAAAAAAAAAAAAAACATAAGGTTGGACTTTGAAGGTTGGACACTAGAGGGAACTAGAAGGAACTAAAGATTACAATTAAAGAAGAAGAACACTTAAATTTGACTTATGAATGTAGAATGAAGCAAAATATTTTAACACTGGACATGTTGAAGGATATTTTTGAACAATGGACCCAGTAGTTAATTTTAAGAGTGTCTGTTTCTATCCCCTTCATGGATCACTGCCTTGTCGTGGCGAAGGGGCTTGCGTAACTCAGTGAAGCCATGAGCTATACCATGCAGGG